TGTCAAAAATCATTTGGCTGTCAACACATTGATTTGTGTTTCTATTTTCATTTGCCTCCAAGAGTTTCTTAATTTTAAATATATTCTGCCTTGACCTATTGTTCAGAAGCATGTTGTTTAATTTTTATGTATTTGTAGAATTTCCAGTGATTTTTCTGTTGTTTTTAGTATTTTTAGTTTTGTTCCATTGTGCTTGGGAAAAAAGGTTGAATATCAATTTTAAAAATAGTTTTTAATACTTGTTTTGTGACATATGTTGTTTCTTTTGGAAAAAGTTTCATTTGCTGCTGAGAAGAATGTGTATTCTAGAGCTGTTAAATAAAATTTTCTCTGTCTGTTAGGTCGATTTAGTTTATATTTTAATCTTGATGATTCTTGGTTAATTTTTTGTTTGGATCATCTATGCATTGCTGAAACTGGGGTGTTGAAATCCCTGTTATTGTATAGAAGTCAATGTCTCTCCCTTTAGATCAATATTATTTGCTTTGTATATCTGGGTGCTCTGGTGTTGGGTGTGGATATATTTACAATGCTTTTGTCCTCTTTGAATTACCCCATTTATTAAGTTTCTGGACTTAAAGAGTGTTTTATCTAATAAAAGTATAACTACTGCTGCTCTTTTTTGGTTCTTAATTGCATGGAATATCTTTTTCCATTCTATCACTTTTAGCCTTTGTGTGTATGTTTAAGTGAGGCAAGTTTCTTGTAGACCTCACATACTTGAATCTTGTTTTATAGAACATCCAGTCTCTGTCTCTTTTATTTGGATAATTTAATCTATTTACATTTGGAGTTATTATTGATAGATTAAAAACATAAAACTGTTATTTTCTTGTTTTCTGGTTGTTTTACATATTATTTTTGGCTTTTTTTCTCCCTTACTGTCTGTCTTTGTGATAGTCATTTCTTCCTAGTAGTATATTTTTATGTCGTGATATTTATTTTTAGTGTATCTACAATAGTTTTTTACTTTATGTTTACCATAAGGCTTACCACAAACATCTTATAGTTACTCCAGATAATTTTAAACTATAAAAACTGATAACAATTTGTTTGATTTCAGAAAGAAAAAAAATTTTTAAACTCTACACTTTGACATCATTCTTCACCATNTCTTCCTTCTGAAGACATCCTATAAGTTTTGTTATGTTTTATTGTCATTTTTATTTCTTTTTCTTTTCTTTTCTTTTTTTTTTTCCTTTTTGTCTTTTTTTCGTGACCGGCAATGGGATCGCAACCCTCGGTGTCGCGCCCGCACCGCACCCAGCCAGTGAGCGCACCGGTCTCTATATGGGATCCGAACCCTCGGCGGGAGCGCCGCCGCGCTCCCAAGCGCCGCACCCTACCAAGTGCGTCACCGGGCCGGCCCGATTTCTCTTTATTTTCTAATTTCCCTTGTGATTGCTTTTTTAAGAATGTGCTGTTTAGTTTCTACATATTTGTGAGTTTTCCTATTATTGAGTTTTAATTTTATCCTGTTTTGTTTGGAGAAGACACATAGCATGATATCTCTCTTTTTAAGTCTTTTGAAATTTGTTTTGTGGCCTGAAATGATCTGTCCTGGAGAATGTCCTATGTGCACGAGAAGAGTGTATGTTCTAGTGTTGGGTAAACTGTTTTATATCTCTCTGTTACATATACAGATGGTCTCTGGCTTACAATGGCTCGTCTCACAATTTTTCTATTTTTTGATGGTGCAAAAGTGATACATTCAGTAGAGGCCTGTTCTCCTTTGGGGGAACAGCTTTAATAGTTTTTTACTTTATGTTTACCATAAGGCTTACCACAAACATCTTATAGTTACTCCAGATAATTTTAAACTATAAAAACTGATAACAATTTAAGTTTGATTTCAGAAAGAAAAAAAATTTTTAAACTCTACACTTTGACATCATTCTTCACCATATTTTGACCTTTTTATGTCTCCATTTACATCTTTCCTGGCTCTTATACAATTTTCATAGTTGTTATCTTTAATGGGGTTGTCTTTTTATCTTCCTTCTGAAGACATCCTATAAGTTTTGATATGTTTTATTTTCATTTTTATTTCTTTTTCTTTTCTTTTCTTTTTTTTTTTTCCTTTTTTTCTTTTTTACTGACCGGTAACGGGATCGCAACCCTCGGTGTCGCGCCCGACAATTTTTCTATTTTTTGATGGTGCAAAAGTGATACATTCAGTAGAGGCCTGTTCTCCTTTGGGGGAACAGCTTGCCGGTACAAGGATCTGAACTTGTGACCTTGGTGTTATAAGGCCATTATGCTCTCACCTACTGCCCTAACCAGCCAACCTGGTCTCATTCAGTAGAACCTGAACTTAGAATACCCACATAATCATTCTGTTTTTCAGAATCCCCACATAACCATTCTGTTTTTCATTTTCAGTATAGTACGCAATAAACTACGTAATATATTCAACACTATGATAAAATAGACTGTGTGAGATGATTTTGCCCAGCTGTAGGCTAATGTAAGTGTCCTAAGCACTTTTAAGCTAGGCTGTGTGTTACAGATTGAATTATGTCCCCTAAGTTTTAGGTATTAGAAGCTTGATCCCCACTGTGACTGTTCACCAGTAATGGCTGTCCTGTGGTCAGCGCCTCCTTCCAAGGATGCTGCAAGGGACAGGGTGAGGTCCTCAGATGGACCATTGGAAATGATCATCCCTGGCCTGGCCCTCTGAGCTGAAGGCGGCCATCCCAGGCCTGTGACCCTGGAGCTGGAGCAGGGACCCTGGGGTGTGCAGGGTTAGCATGGCCTTGACGTGTCCCCTCCAGGCCTATGGACAGGGTGGGATGTGTGCAACGATGGTGTCCCCAGGCCACGCAGCTCTTTTTTTTGCTCTGAGCTGCACTGCTCTCCCACATCCCACCCTCGGCCCTTTGTGTGCCACTACTGGATGTGACCGCACACACGGTCATGCCCAGGGGGTGCAGCAGGTGGTCCGGGCAGGGGCTGTCGGTGCTACTGGAGGCCTTGTCCTCCCGCTGCTCTGGACAGGAAGGGTGATGTGCCATGTCATGTCACCCAGGTGAGCTGAGAGGGGTCAGCAGGGCCTATGTCCATCCCCAGTCACAGGAGAGAGGGACCCAGGGCAGACAAGTGTGTCGCTGTGAGTGTTCCAAGGTGACAATTCTCCCCCTGGACTTGGGGCCAGCACTGCTCCCCCAGACTTCCTGAGCTCACTTTGTGACAGATGAGGCTTCTTGGCTCTGACATTCCAGGCCAAGGAGAATTGGCCTCTGTGGACCCATCCCCTGTGGCACACCAGGTTCAAGGTCAAGGGAAAGCAGGGGAGATGGGTGAGCCCCACCCCAGGTGGGGTCTTCACAGGGTTTGCCCATCCTGACAAGTAATGGTCGTGTCATGAAAACGAGGTGGAGGGAGGGACTCCAGGGTGAGGGTGGGTGTGCAAGGCCACGGTCAGCCTCCTGCAGGCCCAGTCCCTTCTAGAAGCTGCACTCAGGAAGGGCTGACCCCTTTTCTAAGCCCCACAGGGAACAGACAGAGCCACTACATCTGAGGAGGAAAAACATATATTAGGAAACAGTGCATATCTTGGGAAGAAGCAGCCATCAGCACACAGAGGTACTGGTGACGTGGGGGAAAGAGAGATTATTTGTGTGGGGGCTGAAGGTATTCTGGGGGAAAACTTTTCCCACCCAGAAAGGGGTGAGAAGTATGAACTGGTTGACCAGACCAGACACCTCTCTGAAGATGACAGTGTCTAGGGCAGTGAATGGAGCGGACTGAGGCTCTCACCGCCAGTGGCCTATGCTGGCAGGGACTCTCCCTGGGAAGTGAGGCCCCACTGCTGTTCCCGTCTCTGATCCACCTGTACTTGACAGGATGGCTGTGACCCACTGGAGTGGCATGGTGACAGCAGGCCATACCTCTCACCACCGTTCTTTGCTCTGGGTAGGAGGGACCCCTGTGGTGGCAGGAACGCCCTCCCACTGGGGCTGTCGAGGCAGAAACTTCATGGTGAAGCCCCATTTTCTCCTCTAGGATCTGTCCAACAGCAGTCATGAGCGCCTGGGCTTCAGCCACGCAGTTGTCCGCAAACAGTCCGCTTGGGACTGGTACCCAGCTCCGGGCAGGGGCTGATGCTGGCTTGCCTTTTTGCAGGGGATCTTTCTGCCCTTTGCCTTTTTCACTGGGGACAATCCACTGAAGAAAGTGCCTGATCCTTTTCTTGAAGTGGCTTTCTGGAGGTGCCTGTCCCTTCTCTGGTGGGAGCTGGGAGGACTGGGTACTTAAGAACTTTACTGGCTTCCTGTCCTTTGCAGGGGGGCTTAGTCCTACGAGTGTTTGTTCATGGTTTCCTTGTGCGGGCCTCCTGTGGCCCCCTCTCTGGTCAGTAGGGCCAAACATCTGGCTCAGGCTCTTCTGTGGTTTCTGAAATTTTGGGTTCCTGGGCTTCTCCTGCCCCTGGCTGCTCCTGGACATCGCTGGGCCTGCACTCAGCTCTAGGCTGTCTCTCTTAGCCCCCAGCACATTCGCACTGTGACAGGTTGTGCCCATGGCATTACATATGAGGGGCTGAGAAGGCCACCTGCCCTCCTGTCCTATCAGAGGGTCCTCTGAGGGCCTGCACTTGTCACCAGATTTGGTCTCTGTGTTGTATGCAGACCTCTGGGCTTCCTTACACACAGGCAAGGGGACAGGGAGGGGACGACACAGGGTGGAAAGTGACATTTTTCCTGCCACCTTCTCTCCCGGATCTTTGTGAGGAGGTTCTCCTGGGACATTGGCAGCCTCAGCTGTGCATTTGGCCCCAGATTCAGTGGTGGCTGATGAGGGAAAGGCAGGCTGTGAAAGGGACAAGGGTTGAGCTTTTCGTACCTTAAGATATGGGGGCTTGTGGACCTTGAGGGTCGGGCCCCACTCATGGCTTGCCTGAAAACTTTTAATATGTGCTTCCAGCATCTGTCGAGTGTGTACATCAAGGAAGGAAAGCTGCTGGGAGGTGTTTACGTGGGACACCTTGCCCTTGGAGGGCGCTAGATTTCCAGTTTCCATGTGAGTGTTTGAGTTTTCCGGAGACAGGACATGGCCATTAGCAAGACTGGGATGATGAACACCCACAGGGACCATGTCCTCATTGACCTCCCCCACTTTCCTGTGCAAAAGGACTTCTGCAGTGTCTTCTAGATGCTTCATGTCCGAGCTCCTTGGTGAGTCCTTTCCTGAGTCACTTCCCAATGGCGTCATCCAGTCCCTTTCTGACTTTTTCTCAGTTTTGGCTTCTGGAACTTTCCCTGAGCTGCTTTCCGAAGCCCTGGGTAGATGTTCTAGGACGCTCCACAGACACTGTTTTGGGTCCTTGCTTGGGATCTTCCCAAGCTGGAATTTGGCTGGGCCCCTGGACTCCATTTTCTGCGTGTTCTGGCTGCTCCCACCTACAAACACAGAGGGCCCATGCCTGTCCTTTACCTGAGAAGTCCCTGGGAATTCGTCCTGAGGCTGTATCAGGTCCAGAGACATGTGGGGCCTGTGGGACAGTCCACAGCAGTGCTGTGTGTACCTCTGCTGAAGGTCCTGAGCCCATGCCTGTCCTTTACCTGAGAAATCCCTGGGAATTCGTCCTGAGGCTGTATCAGGTCCAGAGACATGTGGGGCCTGTGGGACAGTCCACAGCAGTGTTGTGTGAACCTCTGCTGAAGGTCCTGAGGCTGTATCAGGTCTGGAGACACGTGGGGCCTGTGTGACAGCCCACAGCAGTGCTGCGTGAACCTCTGTTGAAGGTGTTTCTCCAGTTGCTCCCGGAGCTTAGGTGACAGCCCACAGCAGTGCTGCGTGAACCTCCGTTGAAGGTGTTTCTCCAGTTGCTCCCGGAGCTCAGGGCTAATGAAGTCCCCTGGGAGGAGGGAGACTGACTCGTTTTCTTGGGAGGCCTCACTCTCAGGGGTGAGTTGGTTAAAGGCTTCCTGAGGGTTCTGGACCATGGTGGGTAAATCCCTCCTACTTTCTTGTTCCTTCTTTGAAGGGTGACAATCCACACGTGGGATAGAAGTTGGGATTAGAAGTTCGGCCTGCATCTGGTCTGTAGGACAAGCTGCTCCCCGGGCCACGATCTGTGGTGAGTAGCACGGTGGGATGGGGAGACAGGATGAGGTGTGGGGCTGGCTGTGGGTCTCAGCCAGAGGTGAGGGCTGGGACAGCGGCAAGGCTGGAGTTAGAGGTTGGGGTTGGGGCACATGGGGGGACCAGAGTCGGGGTTGAAAAAATTGTGGAGATAGTTGAGTCTGATTTTGTACTGGAAAGGAATGAGAGAGTTCATTGAATAAAACAGAGGGAAACTCCAGTGGGGAACCAGAGACCCTGATTGTTGCCACCAGGGACTCACTGTGCAGAAACGGGAGGCCCCAGTAGTGCTGGCTGGTTTTCCGCTGTAAATGGTCCTCTAAGACCTTGGGATCAGAGAGCTGCTCAGGACCAGGCAGCTGCTTTGGTTTGTCTTTCATGCTCCAGAAGGGTTGCGGGGTTCTGGTGTCCTGCTTGTCACCCAGTGATTTTAATGTATTCCCCAGAGAATCCAGGGAATAGTCTGATTTCTCTTTTTGTTTGTCGTTCCTGATCTTCTGTCCTGTTCTCTTGGTGATTAGCCTCTCCAATAGCTTCTGGATATTAGGGTTGACAAAAGAGGGGCCACCAGCCTCCAGGTAGCTTTGTGTGGGGTCTCCCGAAAACGGGGCCTCTGTTGGGTGGTGGGAAACACCCTCTTGATGGGATTGACCCTGTGACGAGGTGGGGAGGTACGAGACCTTGGCAGCCATCTGCCACCAGGAGAGGGCTGGGATGGGACAGCTTGGGTGACTAAGGCTGGAGATCGCTGGGGTGGGAGACGTCAACCAGCAGTTGTGTGGAGACAAGCTCTGTGGGATGGAGCCCAGTGGGAGTGCCATTGTGTTCCACTGAGAAGTACTCAGGCTGGAGTCTGCTGGAGGCAAATGGGAGGCCACAGGGTCAGGGGGTCGTGATAGGGGAGGGACAGGTGCGAGTGGCGGGGTTGAGAGGCTGTCAGGGGGGAGCAAAGGCTCTGATGGCTGAGAGGCACTCAGGGGTGAGCGTGACTCAACAGAAACGGTGGAAGTCCGTTGGCCTGGTGACAGGGTGGAGGCCACAGGCAGAGGACACTCAACCAGAGGAGCCTGGATAGTGAGTGGGGATAAGGTGACAGGAGCAGAATCTTCCAAATTCTTCCAGCATGGCTGGTGGGCTCTGGCAGGTGCTGGTTTGCACACCTCACCTGGAGGGTCAGGGATCTCCGCCAGGTGGCTACAGGAGACAGGACGCAGGTGCTGTAGCCAGGAGCAGACCGGCCAGGAGCGGCTCCTGCACCCAGGGCCCCTCCACTGCCCATGCACTGGCTTCACAAAGCTCCTGCCTCCCCTGCCCCAGGGTTTTGGTCACATCCCATCCCCTTTCCTGGACTCTTCTCCCAGGTCAGCCCCAGGCTCTGGGGTCACATCATAGGCCCTGGTAGGAAGGAGGACATGGGAGAGAAAAGGAAAGTTCCTCACCTTTGCAGAAGTGAGATCAGGCCTTGAACCTCCTTCAGTTCCCCCAGGCCATCTCTACAGGCTGAAATGAGGAGACTGGGTTATTGTGGAAGGAGGGGCCTGGGGATCTTACAGGAGGCTGAATGGAAGGTCCCTTTAGGGGAGATTGGGAGATTAGACTGTGGAGCCCCAGCATCAGTGTCCAAGGCCACATGATCTCAGGCAGTGACAGTAAGGTGCAAAGATGGGCAGCGCTTTGTAGTTTACAAAGTGCTTTCACATCCAGCACCCCATGGTCCTCCAACCACCCTCTGGGGGAGGAAGGACGGGGTCATGCCAAAGAGGAATCAGTCTTGACAAAGTTAAACAGTTGGGCCTGAGGCCCCACCTCCAGATCCAGCACGGTTGGTCCACTACCCCCCACCCCTGGCCCTGCTGGGCAGCACCCCTTCCCTGGCCCGTCCTAGCTTCCTTCCCAGTACAGAATCTGAGAAGTACCCCAGGTGCTGATCTCCTTCCCAGGACCCTCCCTGTCAGGCCTCTGTAACGACATCCTCAGAGATGTGGCCTTTGTCACTCAGGGACACGTGTGAGGTCAAGTTTCCTCTGGGGGGCCGGGGGAAGGGCCGAGCCTTACCATGTAGAGCGCCACTCTTCCTGCTCCTGCTGCTCCTTGTCTCCACCTGATGCTGAGACAAGAAAGAACGAGGGGCTGGGACCCGAGTCTCACTCTCCTCCCTCTAGACAAGCTGCAGACGTGCAGTGTTCTCAGACAACACGACGTTCTGCATTTAGCTGATGGAACTCTGTGCTGTTTTCTTGCCTTTTACTCATTTTTAACGTGTATGTATGAAAAAATATTTCCTGTTTTCCTTCTGTGAAAAATGCAAAGAGGGGTGTTCTACGTGAGATTCATTGTGGATGTCCTCAGTTCCTCTGCTTTGGATACCTGAAGGCTAGACCTGCATCTGAGCTGTTACGTAGGATTCTTTCTCCTAAGGCTGGAGACACCTCCATCCTCTGACGAGAGGCTGTTAGGAGCACAGCAAGGCCCTTAGATGAACCTGACATGGAGGCAAGTCTTGGCCCCAGGGGCCTGTCGTGGGAAGGCACTGAAGAGCCAGTGCTCAGCTGTCCTGCAGAGATCTCAGCTCTCAGCAATCCCAGCCTAGGCCACCAAGTCAAGTCTTAGTGTCTGCCCTTGCCCTGGCTCTTCTAGCTCAGCAGCACAGCTGGTCTGAGAGCTTTGGACAGAAACCGTAGTGCCCACTCTTACCCTTGCCCTGCCTGTCCCTAGAAGGATGGTGTTCTAATCTTTCCTGACATTTCCCATCTCAGAAATCTCTCTAGGTGATTTGGAAAAGTAGAAATAGTAATAGGAAGGAAAGAGAAACTCATTGTCTGTTGGGTTTGTGCACAGGTTTGCTTACCTTCCTCAGGTTTCTCTTTTTCCTCTTTGATGGTAAGGATCCATCCTTCTGGAGACAGGGGAGTAACAAAAGGAAGAGCCCCACCCCACCCAGGAAGGCAAAGGTGATCTCCACCACCCAGGAAACGGAGCTGGGGCTCAGCCATGTGGCACTAACGCTCTTCAGAGTGAAGAGAAGATTCTCCATCTTCTGAATCGCAGTGCTGCCTTCAGGCAACTGAGCCCTCGGGAAAGTTCCCTCTGGTTCTAAGGTCCAGCCCTGCATCACAGAGCTGTGGCGTCATCACAAAGAACTCCTGAGGGTGGGGGAGAGGACAAAAACAGGAAGAGGCTGAATCAGAGCCCCTCCCCCTCCCCCATGCCCAGCAGGTCCCTCCTTCCTCCTGGGCCTTCTAGGTCCCTCCTTCC